GAATTTTTTTTATTTTTAATAATATATATCTTTCAAAAAATTTTTTTTCGCTAAATTCATCAAACTAATTTATAACAGTGTCATGCAGATATATCAATTTTATATAATATTTAATATCATATTAATAAAATGATATTATTCATTGCGGATAACTACGATGACTGAGAATCTTAGAGTAGAAACAACATTGATGATTGTTATTATTTTGTTATTTACATTTTTTGAGGATTTATTTTTGATAATTTATTTAATTGAAAAAAAGAGCATACATTTCGTAGAAATAATTTTTTAAAACTATATTATTAAAGTTATTTTAAATTATAAATTTTGTAACACTAACTGGTAATAAACAAATTAAATATCTCTTAATTCTTCAAATTTTCTTTGATCCAAGATAGGAAATTGTACACTCTTGTGTAAACATCTGGTTCTCCAGAACAGGTGAAGGAAGCGATTCCAATTTGAACTCCATCAGCGACCAAGGGTGCACCAAGATCATTCTGGAATGAAAATGAAATTAACATGAAAATACTGATATATATTATAAAATGAATATCTAAAACTAAATATATAAAATTATTATATATGGTAATAATTAATTACTTATTATTGCAAATTATTATTATAATTATTTAAACACAAGTAATTTAATTGGCATATAATTAGATCACTATTTAGTATTATACAATTTTATAATATTAATATGTTTTTAGAAATACATATTGAAAATGTAAATATATCAATTCATGTCAAAATGCAAAAATTCTATCGACATGTAATTAGATTGTTTTTATATTATTTCTACTTTCAAGTATAATTATATAAAGTTATAGCACAGTAAAATGAAAGAAACATGAAGTCTTTTTATTTTGTTATGTTATAACTTTATTTATTAATAAATATATAACATTTGCTTTTTATGTCGTTAGTCATAATGTCTAACGTTTCGATTTTTAAAAAATTTTATAATCATTTTTATTTCTGTGAGATGTTTTTACGCAATATTTGTGTGATAGATACGTAACAAAATCATATAGAATTAAAATCATATAGCACCAAAGGTTAGAATCATTTATTAATCTGTTGATGTTAAATAAAAAATATATATAATTGATTTGTTGTATCATATTAATAATCGACGACTCACCTTGTATTCATTCGTTCTGTTTTGAGCTGTAGTGCAGATATGACTATCTGTCAGTTCCCAGTGCCTTTTCGCGCATTCTTTTTGCTTATCAACTACCAACTCAGTTTGTTGCAATTCTCCATTCTAGAAAGAATAATTGCATTAATTGTTACATCGAGCATCAAACAACGAATAACAGCAACAGAATTATGGTTGTTAGAATATCTTTTTACACTTATTATTTTTAATTTCATGTTATATATTTATATAAAATGTTATATATTTATATATATTTATATAAAAAGAAAATAATAAAATTACTTTAAGAAAGAGTTCTTTCCTGATTATGTATAATTGGAAAATTTTTGTATCATAAATTAAACATTACTGTTGTATTTGTCCATCCAGATAATAGGCACGGCTTGCCTTCGAAATTTTTATTAGATTTTGGAAGATTTATCGGATATACTAGTACGTTGCGTTGTTTGATAGGATCACTAAGGTGAATCAAGGCGATGTCATTATTGCATAATAATTCGTCGTAATTTTGATGGACGTTAATACTTCCTACGTTATGACGATATCCTGTATCATTTAAGGAGTTTATGCCGACATGGACCTGTATTTTAGCTGATTCACACTCCAATCTAAGAATAAAAATATATCTAAGAATATTAAAAATCCATATCTATTAAGAACAAATTTTGAAATTTGCTATATATTTTATCAACTGAATATCAAAAGAATATAACAGAAGCTGCTAATAGAAGATTGATTGCAGAAATTAAACCCACTTTGACGTTTAAATGACGTATTTCATGTTAACGAAATAAAATATTCTCTCTCTCTCTCTCTCTCTCTCTTTCTCTCTCTTTCTCTCTCTCTCTCTCTCCCTTTGTTCGGTTTCTGCTATCAATCACCAATTTGTTGTTAAATTATATCGTTAAGTTCTACTAGCAAAATATAAGTTGATTGAATACTTAAATGAATACTGAATTGATGGCAATATTTAAGTAAATCTGTTATCAATTTGTAATCAATAAATTTTATTTTAGATATTACATCTGTTGCCTTGTTTGCTTATTGAATACGTACACATTTTACACGTACACTGTCTATTTAATAGACACGTACTGTGTCTATTTAATACCTTCAAATTAGATTTACATTCCAAAAATAATGTATATTAATAAATATTTGGAATATTCAACATACGCAACAATACATTTTGCTGAAGTTAAGACGTTATAATCATCAAGAATAGATCCACTGCATATGTGTGTGCCATTTACTCTTAATGATACTTGATACCTAAATTTGCCGATAGGAACCTCATTAACATCCTTAATGTCGATAGGAGCATCCTCACTTATGATAGAAGGAGATGGAGCTCCTTATTAACAAAAATAAATTAATTATATTAATATATATATGCAACATAATATCTATTACATTATTACAGTAATTTTCCAGTAAAAGATACAAATCGATTGTCTTTCATCGAATATTGAATGAAGTTAGAATAATTCCTGTGTTGATTTATGTCTTTTCTTGAAAAACATCTTATATACATTAACTTTAGCAATTAAACATTGTGTGTATTTTATAACTATGAGTTATTTAGAGAAGTTATAATTTTATTTAGAATATAAAATTTTTATATCTAGCAAAAGCTTTACTATTTATTTCACATTAATTTTTATTAAGCACATATTTAAAAAATGCAAGAAAATGTACATATTTTACGTTGATATAATTAATTATAATTAATTAATTTGTTTATTCATGATATTAATTAATACAGTGCTGGAACTTGCTGCCGATTGGCATTTAAACTGCGAGCATTTGGTGAGATAAGGGAACCAAACTAAAAATCATCTGAAAGTTGCAAATAAATTCCAGCATTGAGCTAATATATGTACCGCTTGTTGCATCAACATATTGATCAGTATATTAGATTTTATTATCAGTATATTAGATTATATTAGATTTCCTTCTGTAAGGACAGACGCGTGGTTGATTACATTTATAAAACTGATTGATCTATTACATTTTATAAATGTAATGTTTGCTAGAAAAATCATTATATTTATATAATATATTTATATTCAATGTAAATATAATAATCCAATGACATGTTGATCAATATATTAATGCTACATTCAACATGTTATCGAATATGTTTAATTCTCTTTCTTCCATTCTTTCTCTCTGTCTCTCTTTCTCTCTCTCTCTCTCTCTCTCTCTCTCTCTCTCTCTCTCTCTTTCTCATTTTTTTTGGCACACATAAAATAGTTATAATAAAAATATATAAGGAAACTTAAAAATATATGAAAATAATATTTCCAGGAAATGAAAATAATTAGTTATTGTAACTGCTGTAATTTAATATTAATTATTTAGTTGTCTTGTTGTAATAACGATTCGGTAATAATGTTGCGAATGATTTCAAGTTGATAATAGATCTGTTTTTTCCTGCACTCTCTGAATTGGCGCATACAATGCAATAAGTTAAAGTAAAATAAACATATATTTATTTCATTTCAATGTACCATGTGCATCAATTCAGACAATGTAGGATTAAAAAACGGACCTCATGTAACACCATAGTTGAAATAGTTAATAATTACTTATCACGGATTGAAAAAAGAACTCATTTGTCACTGAAAAATATAACTCGCAATTTTTTAACTCTTTTCTTTTTAATGTAATTTGTGTGACGGAGTAACTTTATGGCATTACTAATTACTTTTCCAATAATAAGTAATAAAGTTACAGTAAATAATGCGTAAGTAATGGTGAGAATTTACTTTTCAAAATGATTTTTCTTAGCGTAACTTTAGCTTTTTGTTAGTCATTATTACAATTATAAAAAATTGCGACATCATTATGAAAAATTGTTATTGTAAAACGTAACAGAAAAGTAATTCTTCCATTTCCTGACAGATTCATACCTTCAGTAGCGTATGCCAGAGCGACAAATATAAGACAAGCGAACGCATGCATCTTGGATTGCAGATTTGTTGTCTGATATTCAAGCGATGCATTCAAAGGTTTATATATGTTCCTGAAGTAGTTACAATTGAAGATATAAATCTTACGTTTATGAAGTTTTCTATGATTTTTCTCAATGCAATATCATATAATAAAGTATCGTTACTACTATTCTAAATTCTATACACATGTATTCTATACACATGTGTCATAAATTATTTTTTAATCTCGTTAAATGTTATCTCACTCTTCACAAAAGTCGATTGAGTTAGCATTGGGAAGTATTTCTACTAGATAGGAAGGTATTTCTAAAGATTGCAATATCTCGAATTTATTGCTATTGTCGACTCGTTCTAAACTTGACATTTTTTTAGTTTGATAATAATATATATAAGTAAACTTTTTTTATTTACCGATAGAATTTCCTTCTTCGGTGATTGCTAACTCAGTTTTGCAAGAGCTCGATTTTCATTTCCGTTTTATGTCAGATATCAAACAATATTATTACAGCTATTCATTCTAATCGAGATTCTTAATATATTTAATTCATTTTACCCAAGACTTAAATTTGATTGAAATTGGAAGCAGTGTTTTAAATTTTTTGGACATTAATATTATTATTATTAACAATGGCAACACCCTAGAATTTGATTGATTTCACAAATCAGTTTTCTCAAGGAAATACTATATTTAAATTTTATGTCTTCGCATCGATTTAACAAAAGAGAGAAGTTATCATATTGGAATCACTGACAGATTCTTTTTTTTGTCGCATCTGAAATTCCACATACAATACAAATTTTAATTTTATTATTAAAAAGTATCAAATAATGATTTGTATGAATTGTTTTAAATTCATATTTGACTATCAGTGTTAAATCTCTTTGTTATAAAAAAAATTTTTAAATAAATTTTAAAACAAAATATTGATATAATTCCGGTCACGGGGGAAAAACTATCCTTAGGATTACGGCAGTAAAACATAAGCAGTAATCAATGCAACATGTTGATTTCCTTATTGCATATGTCTTACTGTCTTAAGCTTTTGTGTGCCTTTACTATTCTATATATTCAGAATGTTTCTGAAAATTTAGGAATATGGAATTTGAATGTAAAATCAATGTTTTATAGTTTTATAGTTTTATACATTAAGCAGGTTTATTAAAGTTCATAAAGGTGTGCTTCCAAAGAAAAATGATATATCAAATCTCATGTAGTAATGCAACTTATGTGGATCAAATTGTGAGGAAATTATCAGAATTTTAGAACATCAAATTTCAGGAATCACATCAATAGAAATATTACCTCCGAATCGAAAATCACAGATCATAGATTATATTAGAATCATTAATTTGATTGGTCGAATGTGAAAATTTTTCGAAACGATTTTTGAGTAAACGTCTGACGTCCGAAATGATATTTATTAAATTACAAACAAATAGTCTAAATTTACAATCAGACACTAACTGTTTTAATCATGCATATGTAGATATATTTATTATTAAATAAATTTTAAATCTTATGCGATTTTGTATTTTATAGTCTTGTTCTTTAGGTGAGACTTTCTACTTTGGCTGGTATTATTTCACATTTTAATTCTTAATACTTCTTAGGCGATTGCAAATTTCTGTGAATTATGTACAATGGACCATGATGAAACAAAATTATGCAGCTGAGTGGGTATTCGTCTAGTAGACGAGAGTGTGGAGATTTTTTTCTAATATTTGTACTTTGCTGAGATTGTATATGGCCTCAAATGTGGCAGAAACGGTCAAATTGTAAAGCAAGTCAAATATAATTTTTATAAATTTAAGTATGTTTTGATCATTATATTTATCCTTATTTGTCTGAATTGTTTACAATTGTTACTTATATTTTACATTTTACTTATTGGATGATAAAATTAACAATTCTAATTAAATTTGCAATTTTCACTGATACCTTTTCTTAGAACAATTGGGATGTATTGAATTCTAATAAAGTACATGTTTTGGATGACATGTTTTGTATAATTTTTGTTGTCAATTCGTACGACGACTTTATTAACCTAATTAGAAATCATGAAATATAGGTATAAATAAATTT